TCTGATAAGTGATTTCTTGGAGCCAGAGCTTACTGGTAAAACCACAGATATAGACTAAAAAAGATCTTCTTCCATTTCTGGCCATTTTTGCAGCCTTATTATTTACACTGATCTGACACGGGGTTCCTCAGGGCTCTGTTCTAGTTGTACTTATGGTAACTGATGTAAAGTATTTTAGCAACATTTTACACCATATTAATAAAGATGATATTCAGTTGTAATGTCTCTTTATTGACTGACCTTTTAGGAATGTTTTTGATGACGGTATTACATAAATAAGCAAAGAGTTTCCTGTTTCCTGTCGGAAATGTTGGTGTGAACTCTATGATGAGGAGATACAGAAGAGGAGGAAGTCAGCATCTGATTAACTTAGGTTGCTCCTTATTTCTCTCTTAAACTTTATAAATAGACTTAGCTCCCTTGTTTGATAAAAAATGGTAAAAGCTCTGGAAGCTCTCTGAGTCTTTTTGACAGGAACTACCATTAAAGACAGCAAGTTTTTTCAGGTAACATTTCTGTTTATTGATGCTGAAGACAGAACATTCACAGCATATAGACATTATTCTCCATTGTCTCTAACAGTCTGACATAAACTACCCAAACACAGTCTTCTGTTGCCATTTGAATTAATTTGTTTATTGCTGTTATTTCGATTTCGCAACCTCCACCGACCCAAAGACTTTATCGCAGAAGAGCTCAACTGAAACGAAAGATAAGGCAATGATCATCTCTAAGCTTCCGGGGTTTAGATGCATATTTCGCTAACTGACATCGATTGCCATGGTAATAAAAACAGACGGAAAAGGTTATAAAAACAACAGACTGACAGTTTCCATCCATCCTGAACCGTCTTCATCCAAATGACCACATGAGGGCGCTGTCTTGCTGATGCCTAACCGGTCCACGAGCCTGCTGGTTTCTGGGAGGACTCGTTCAGTTGGGCACGTAACCAGTAGAGTTAAAGTCAGTTAGTACCTCCTGTGCTTGTTACCATGCGGGTCAGCTGGTCATCCTGTCTGAAGAAGCCGCTAACGTCCCACGCTGATGTTGCAGACCTTGCAGCTGGGGTCTTTCTTGGCGTTGAGGGTAGACAGGCTCATCAGCTGGTGTCCGCTGATCTGTGACACCGTCCCCAGAGACAGATCCACCGGCTCTGTGTAGATCACCTCCAGGATGACGTCCTGAGCGTGACGGAAGGACAGCGAGCCGTCCTCTTCCTCACTGCAGCTCAGGAAGCAGTTGCTTGACCTATCCAAGGCTGGCAGCTTGCCTCTACAGAAAATGTCCCCTTTGGAGCCACTGGGGGCCAGAACCACGATGACATAGTGATACGAAGTGTACATGCAGTAAAAATCCCCAAAGTAGATGTTGGTGTTCTGGTTGAAGAGGAGGTCTGCTTGGATCTGTGAAACATAAATGGATATACTCGATGTGTGCAGTCACTGGTAACAGTTTCCTCGTAACTACCTCACTTTGGACTTGTTCAACTAGAAGTTCAGATAGTTGGGCTTAGGGTTGGCTGAACTGGACCCGAGATATCTCTGCATGAATGAATGATATGAATCTGTACATGCTTTTATATCCAGATATTCCAAAGGTTTCTGGCACAACTTCATGGAGAGAAACAAAATCTAGAGATGAGCACTATTACAACACCACAGGTACCAGGGAACCAACAGAGCAACACGGTTCGAGTTGTGGCACTTATCAGACGGACAGATTAAACGTGACTGTTGACTGTTCTGCTCGACAGATGTACCTGGAAGCGGTGCGGCCCGTACGGAGAATCCTGCGGAGGTCGTCCAGTGTTGAACTCTGTGTTGCAGCTGAAGAAGATTCCCTCCAGCTTACCGCTGATGGGGGACCCGTGGCTGCCGCTGTTGTCCTTTACTGACGGCAGCATGCGACAGCACTGAGCATCTCTGGAGCGGTAATGTTGGCTGTTCACAACACACACAGGTTAAAACACATTTAACATAGCCTGGAGCATTGGTGAAGTTACACCTGCGGGTCACACCTGTTTGACTGGAAGTACTCCCTCTGCTGGTTTCTATAGAAGACGGTGAACGGTAACGTCCTGCCAGCGATAGCCTCTGCTTTTAGCAGGAGCTGCTTCAGCTGGACAGTGGAGTAGTCTGCAAAATCAAACTTTGGGTTTTATTTCAACTGCACATCTGCTTATTAGCTTTATGTTTGGGTTTTGGATGAGATTGGAATGTGGTTTGTTTATATCTAGCTGTCTGAATGTCACCCAGATAAATCGATCACCTCAAAATGACTTTTACAAAAAAATAAAGACATGTGAAATATGCATCCTGCTGTTGTAGTCTAACATAACAATAGGACATGATAAAAAAAAGGAGATTTAATATTGTCACCTTCCTAAAATAATGACCTTAGTCATGTTTTGCCAAAAGTGATTTTGGCAACAACAACAAAAAATATTAGTCCTTTTTTGCAAAACAAAACAAACAACAACAAAAAAATCGCTTTTGGCAAAAATTGACTAAGGCCATTATTTTTGAAAGCTGATGAAAATATTACTGTAGATCAAGTGAAACCTAAATCCTTCTCTTTATTCTAAGAAACTGAAGTGAAGAACAGGTGCTTCAGTTTTTCCATCTGACCCGCCGTGCAGAACTCGACGATCTCGCTCCAAGCAGAAACAGCATATTCTCCGTCGGGCTGCTTGGTGGCCGTCTGAACGGCCACGGTGTATTCCGTCCGAGGGCTCAGGAACCAGTGACCTCTGACCATCATCGGCAGAGGAACCGCTTTGGCCACCAGCTTGGTCGGTACGTCCTGGAACACAGGATGAGATTCGATCATCAACGCGGCGGCCACGTCGACCGAAGTCTGTCGTCGCCACGGCTGAATGTCTCGCACCATGTGCTTGAACTTGTTGGAGCTCTTGTCTTCCTTCTTGTTCAGGTCAACAAAGTAATGGGTGATCCGATCCTGGCCTCTGGTCTCCATGATCCAGCTGATCTTGAAGGAGTCGCACGTGACGTTGCTGACCAGGATCTGCTGAGGAACCGGCAGCTCGTCCCCGTCCCCGATGCCGCTGTCCGCAGACTCTGACTCTGGAAAATCAAAAATGTAAAACTGTGAAGCACCATACATTTTCTCACAACAAACTCTAATTCTACTTTTATATTTTTGTCAATAAGAGGATGCCACGTTACAGCAAACATGAAGATTTGTGGAAAAACCGATCTCCTCAGGTTAAGTTTATGTCTTAACATGCATCCATTTCTGCATGGGACTTTAACAAATTCCAGAAAATGTCTTTCTGGAATTTGTTTGGAAGCTTGATATCAAGTTCAAGTTTCCAAAATGGAAAATGTGGAAGAAGAAGAGAAGCAGTTCTGTGCTCCCGTCCGTTTTGACGGTCAGGGCGTTTTTTGTTTTTTTTCATGATGCAAGAGGATTATTTCAGAGTCACAGCGAGGGATTAATCTATTAAAGGTCGGATACTCTGATCCTGAATCTGATCCCAGCTCAGAATCGTGTCAACTGGAGCTAACAAAACAACATCCGACAACAGAACTACGTCATGTCGCTCCTCGTTGCTTCGTTAGGTCCTTTAAAACCGACAGAACGGAGAAAAGGAAATCCTGCAGAGGTTTGTGTCATCATGCGAGGACCACTGTGCTCTGTATTTGTTTGTCCCTGTTCTCCTCTTCCTCTCCTTTCTTTCTCCCATCCCTTCTTTTCCTAAGTTTGAGGACAAAAAGGCTTCAGTCCACAAAGACACTGAGAGCTTGAAGGCCGAACAAGGAGCCTGTTGAGGAGGTGAGGACAGCAAGAGGCTCCAAGCTTTACAGGCCGTGGTGGGGGGCATTCTGAGAGCTCACTGAGGGGAAAAGTAAAAAAAAAAAAAAAAAAGGACCATGGTGCCATCAGTTTTGTTTTATTATTATTGTAGATTAATTGAAGCTGCAGCGAGTCTAGATTATTCTCTTGATGACGGAGGCAGGTCTTGTTTTCAGTGGCAGATGTCGAAACTTCACCAAACCCATAGGAAACAAACCTGATGGATTTGTCTGCTGGAACATTTAGGACCATCAGTGCATCTGTCTGTTCAGATGGGTGGCATTTGGAGAAATCAAAAAAAGAACATTTTCATTTTTAGCAGAGTAAATATCAGATCATTTGAAACTTTGACTCATGATCAGATTTACAAACACCTTCAGGAGAACCAAAGTTTTTTTTTTCTTTTTCTGCTTGTCCTTCCACCCTTTATGTGAATGGAGGAAGTGATGTGTCCATTCATTCCCACTGGGAAGGTGATTATCCACAGGGATGGAAATCAGCAGGCTGAGCTGCCAAAATTCCCACCACAAAGAAACAGAGAGACAGGGAGCTGTTTTTCCTCTTAAAGTCTCTGAGCCATTGCCACCTGCCCAACGTGTTTGGGTTGAAACCATTCATTAAAGATCTAACACAGACAAACTGATCCATCCAACCATCACTTGGAGAGACGATCCTTGAAAGGGGTCACAACGTACGGTTGGTTTGGGCTAACGTAACAATGCTGTTTTTAATCACAGTTTTATCCTTTGATTTCCTAAAATTCCCAGTTATCGTGTTTCCTTTTCTTTATCTATTCATCTTTCCCTTCCCCTTTTCCCTTCATCTTTTACTGTAACTCCATGTTTTATTATCTCTGGGTGGTTCTCTCAAAGCTGTTATCTCTGACGTTTGTGCCTGTGATTTGCATCCAAAATCCAAACTCGAAGCAGTCAGACATTTATGTCCCACCGCTACATCTGGACTGTTTGCTTCTCTGTTTAAATTTAAATTTGTCGGCAGCACCAGTGAAAACCGGCCACAGCTGGTTTCGGTTTGAGAGGAGAGGACAGTGACTCTCATTATACTTCCAGCCTGCAGGACAGCAGACGATAAGGATCCCAATTGTTCAGCGGACGCTTTTCTAATGTGATTCTTCCTCCTCCTGGAGCTGTGATGGTCATTTGTTCCACAAGAGAAACTTTCAGTTCGGATGAGATCGGATGAGAACCGGATCCCTGAAAATGCATGTCTCTCTTTTTGGTTCGAAGGGCACAAACATTCCTCTCTACCGTGAATTGAACTGACACTTTGATACATTAAAACCTAAGTTGCTAGGGCGGTGTTGCAGTCGGCCTTAACCTGTTGTGTCCTGACGCTGGTTGCGTTTGCATTGCACAGAGTGCCACCTCCAAACATCGCAGCTATTGTCAACTTACTTTGCCACACGAGAGGACAACACTCAGCTCGTGTTGCTGTTTGTCATCATCGTACAACTTTGGCAGCAACTGGAAGGAAAAATGGCGACTGAATGGTACATACAGGCCAAAGCGCTGAAAAAGTACAGAAGACCACTGACCAGAAGACACAAGGGCAAGATGACATGGTAAGCTAATGTCGCCTCCTGCAAAGCCAACAAACCAATCAGAAATACGTCGCTCTAGTCTTGTTGGAACAGGATTTTGCTGGGATACGTGAAGCAACGAACATCCATCAAAGTAGCATCGTTCGTCTTTCAGACTTAGCTCAGAGACGCTTCTCAAATCCACGTCACACAAACAAACAATGCTACGAGCATCTCTCAGGAGTAAACGAACCGATCTGCCGTCCTCAAAGCAAATATTCAGCAGGAAGTGACAAACGGTTGAGTTCGTACGGAGTCACATTAATAGTAAGTAGTATTAAGTAGCACAAAATAAGCAGCTCTGATATCCAGTCCATTCTTAGCCTGATTATTCAGCTAAAAAGCAGCCAAAGACAATAATCATCCTTAGCACATTCCTATCCGATTAAAGCCTTCTGTAAATAGCACCACTGCACTGGGAGACGCTACATTGTGTCTTTACGTAAGAAGTATGTGTCGGTTCAAAAAAATGATCAGTTGAATTTATACTAAATTCCTGGGACATGGAGCCGCCACACACAGCATTGATTTCTCTTCTTCACATCGTGATGAAATAACATTCATTTCATCACAACAAAGGACAAAGAATTACCCAACACACCAGTCTGGTAAATGTCCCTCTGATACCAGCTGCTCGGTCAGCTCATTGTCATGGCTCAGACTTGTACCACCGCACCTTCTCATTTGTCCTGACAACAGTATTAATGTCTTCAATGTTGGCCCCTCTCGACGACCTCATAGGCCTTTCCTTACCTGCGTCATGTATTTTTTTTTTGTTGTTTAAAAAAAAAAATAGAACAAATTGACAAATTGTTTACCAAGAGTAAAAATCTCCTATGATATGAGGCCTTCAGAGTAAATAGTAAAGCTCTGTATCAGAAGATTCAGGCCAAGTTGGTTTGTAATTTTAGTTTTGAATCGTTGTAACAGAATCACTGTCGTTGTCAGCTGCTCCAGGAGTGTCCAGATGTTTGAGCTGGAAGTGGCTCTTCATCACCGGGATCATAGCAGCTACAGACAGCTCAGGTTTGTTTGCTTTACTCTGCTGCAGAGCGAGTGAAGAGACAACAGAAATGTTTTTGACTGCTGAGAAAGAACTAAAAGCAGACATTAGAAACTGAAGGTATTTTGAAGCAGTAGCGTTTTTAGTCTGTCCGACGGGCACAACGAGCCGACGCACACTGACCTGGGCGGTCGTCCAGCTGCAGACTCTTCACCTCCACATCTGGGCTGCTCAGGCCGCTCCGAGGCTCCGTCATGCTGCTGGTACTCGGAGAGATGACCGGAAAACCTGAAGAGGGGAAACAGTTGACCACTCTGACTGCAGCTCGCTCTATCTCTCTCTCCTTTTCTCTCTCTCTTTCTCTCTCTTTCTGTGCTTGATGACATCAGGGGATGATGAGCAGAGAGAAAGAGAGGGAGAGAGAGAAAGTTGTTATCCCTCCACATCCACTGAAACGGCAACAACAACCTTTACTTTCCTTCCTTTATGTGTCCTGCATACACATTCCTGTGCTTGCATTTAAGCTGGAACTGAACGGAATAGCAGTCAAAGTCCAAAGAGAAACTCTAAAAGACCTTCAGAAAATTTACAGCATTTTAATGGCTTCAATGTAAGACTGAGAGTAATAATGTTCAATTTTCACTTTTTGGAACAGTAATAATCACCTGCTGTGTTTAGCTTAGGGAACTGAATCCATCTGTTGTATCTGAGAGAGCCGTAGTGATTACTGTTTCTCATGCTGCAACACAGGAGACAGGAAGATAGCTGTAATAATAACTTTTTAAGCGTAAAAAAAAAAAAAAAAATCAACACTGTGCAGCATTTCATATTTCCGTTCTGCTGAGAAACGTCCCGAACATCTGCAGATGTTTGACCGTTTTCTGCCTCAGAGTGACATCTTCTTCTGTGGATTAAAACACAGCTGATGGGGGATTAGAGACTACGCTGAAAACTGAATTAAATGAGCGCTTACATAAGAGGATTAGCTGCAGCTCGCAAAGCACCGCTTCGCTTTGCTCCACTGACTGGAGCGAATACAGTGTTTGCTTTGCTTCGGAGCCTTTCAGCTTTAAAGGTTTCCACTCATTTGGCCCGGAGTTGGTTTAAAAATGGGGTTACAACATGTTACTAGGACGAGTAGGACGTCCTCCGTGATCTTAGAGTGTAGCAACACCAATCTGGGAAGGGTTGAAAGGATCGTTCCGGAACTGTCCGATGTCCATCGTGCTACAAAAAGACACATTGCTAAACAAATGGAGAATATTTAGGTCAGTTGCCAGGAGTCTAACAATGAGTGGGGCATCATAGCAAACAAGTTCAAGGTCAGAATGTGCAATGCTCAGAGACAAACAACCCAGGAGCTCCACCTCAGCCTCCAAAGGCTGCAGTTATCAATGATATTAAACGATTCGTTCATTACATTAAATTTAGGGGGAAAAAACCCCCAAAACAAACTGATCAGCTACAGATTGTTAGAAAAGTCTAAATGAAGTCTTCTCTATCAGAAGAATATGGCAGCAAGGTGTTTACAGAGGTTCTCATCAACTGTCTAACATGACACGTCTGTTATTATTCCCAACTTTTTACTTGATTTAGTGGTAGAAATTTATTTTTCTGTTCTGTCAGAGGATTTCTGAGTTGAAGAGATGTTTCGTCAAAAAAAAAAAAGTTCTGAATCTGTACATCCCTCATCGTTTTTGTTCCGTTTCCTGCTCTGATTAATGGACCAGAATGAAGTCTAGGGTTTGAAAACATTCATTATACAAATTCATAAATACTTTATTAACTGCAAAGGGAAATTAAATTTCATTAAACCAAATCAGTAGTTCATAGACTTATAATGTTTGTCTAAAGATGATTATAAGTTTTGAGGCATTAATTTTTTTTTTTGATAAGTCGTTAGCTGAAATACAAATATTTTCTTGATGCTAAATGAATCTTGTTCTGGAAAATCTGCTTGCTTTTCGAATCTGTGTTTGGCTTATTGTATTATAAAGTCCGGACCTGAAATTGACAGAGATGTAGACAGAGAGTTGTCAAGAAATTTTAAAGAACTGAAACAAACAAACAAACAAACAAACAAAACTGGACCAAAACTCTACAAATTAACAGATATATAAAATCCTCTAATTAAAGAGTAAGAAAAACATTTCAATAAAACTTGTGTCTGTCTGGGAACGACAACAACAACATCTGGAGAAACAAAAAGTAATTGAATGCCTAACAAGCAAAAACATCTCTAGAGTGTAAAAATAAAAAAACAGAAACAGTAAAGGTATATGTCAACTCTTTATTTCATCCATTCAGATTAGAAATAATAAAAGATAATATTTCACACGGTTTTGTAGAATGCCCACAATAGTCTTCTCTCATCACAGATTGGGTTCTGATTCGGCATCGCATGGTTTTTCTTCCCAAGTCAATTAACTGCAGCAAAGACAAGTTAAAAATACCTCTGTACAAATACGTCTGGATAGTTCATCTGATTCCACGTACAAAAATAAGTTCTAAGTGCTTCACACACTTTAATACTGTCTCTGCTTCGGCGTGTTCACAGCTCGGACGCCAACTCATGTCGTCTGTTCTGAAATCTCCACAAAACCTTCAGTCGAGTAGAAGAAGTAAAAGTTAAAACTGCTACCATCAGCAGCTGCTTTCGCCCAAAAGAAAGGAAAAAAAACAAAAAAAAACAAGATACCCTAGAGCATTATTTAGATTCGACACCATATCATCCATTTTTCTTTTTTTTACTTCTAACCCATCGTGAAAACGCTGTGGATGTGAATGAAAGCCAACCCCTGGATTTTAAGGATCCAGAGATTAAGCTGAGTTTTATCTAATGCAACAGACTGACGGAAGGAACAGAAAACGCTCGGTGTGAAAATACGAACACTGAAAAAAAAAAAAAAAGATCAGAAATGAAACAACACATTTCATCCAAATAAGGTGCCTGAGCGTTTTTTATGCGTGGTGGAAGCAAACCTGCTGAACAGAAGACAACACAAATGAAAGGCCTGCTTTTAAAAAGCTCCGACAAACTTGAACAAAACAGGGCAGATTTACTTTGTGTAGATTTTTTTTTTATAAATACAATTGTTACGCTCTGTCTAATACTCTTCTTATGTCACTTCAGCTCTTCCCTCTGCACAGGAGGTTGCCATGGATATGCCGGGCCTGTAACCATGGCAGCACCCACAGTGACAGATATCATTTACATCCTGTGGGTACTGATTGGTTGTGTTGGACGGAGTCAACAAAAGGTATGCAACAAAATAAACCTTGTATAAAAAAAATATTAGCAGATTCTAATCTTATTCTAATTACAGATGTTAAAAAGAAGAGTTTAGTACCCTATTGTCTTTATTTTCAGCATTTTTTCTCTTCTTTTTAATTTATTTTATTTGGCTTAAAAAGCATAGAACTGAAGCAGAGTTAAAGGTCTGAAGAAAAAGCTAAAGTTAACAACCCAAAAGCCATTGCAATTGCCACTAGAAGACACTCAGAAAGTACACAACTTAGTTAGAGATAAGCCACACTGCACACGCCTAGCCAGAAAACGCGAATCAGCCAATCAGAGGCAGTTTTCAGCATCACAAACCAAACCGTGGATGAGCAGATAATTTGGATTAAACGAGGAGCAGAAACGGGTGACAGATGAAAGAGTTTGCTTTGAGGGTTTTCAGCAGCAGCTAGCGATGTGGGATGAGACTGAACCGGTTTCCAACTAAAAGACGCTTAAATCTCCCTGTTTGATAACAACAGAACGCTGCATTCACACCAGTTCACTTTTGGTTTTAGGAAAGACACAATCAGATTTGACTTCTTGTCAGGTCGCAGTGTTTGGTGTCTCCCAGACTGAGTCAATCTGCGGGTGAGCAAAGCGGTGTGGCGCAAATGCAGCTCCACGGTTTAACTCAACGCCTGGAAGCAGCAGCTTTAGAAAACGCCGTATCCGTCAGTGTGGCGAGCCGCCACGGCGAACGCGGGGTAGCCCTCGTAAGTGGCGTAGGCAGTTAGGTCCTGACCCAGAGAAACGGCCTGCTTCAGCTGGGAGGCCACGCCCGATGACCCCGGGGTTGCCAGAGCGTAGCCTACAGGGAGACACAAAAGACAAGACACCTTCTTATTATCAAGCCCTGCTGGTTCACATGTGTGATCTGGTTCTGGTTACACGCTGAGGGTCAAGTGGGTTCTGTCTCTGCTTTAGCGAGAAGTTAGTTGGACTTGGGTACGGACCTTCACATACCTGGGAAGGCTACCGAGGCCACAGCGGCTGCAGTAGCACAGCCGGCGTCAGCAGCGCCCTCCGTCTGCAGGCCGAGCGTCTGCAAGGTGTGTTCAGCCGCGTGGATCTTCGCTTCTTCCACAGACGCACACAGTTTTGCAGGAGTGAAGGGGTGCCTGCAGAGAGGAGCACAAACACAGGTGATCCAAAAGTTGACAAAACTAACCTATTAAGTTTAGACTATAAGTAGAATTCTGCTCAGTTAGCGTTATTTTCTGTCCGCTTTTTAGCATTCTGCTTAGCACTTTTTAAAAAAAGAAAGTTCTTAGAACAAGTTTCAATTAAATTCAAATTCAGTCCAATCATATCTAATTTTCTAGTTCAATGGTAAATGATAAATGGTAAGACAGGGGTTCAAACCAATGAAATGAAATATGTTCGAACCAACAATTAGGGGATAAACTCCTGCCATCGTTGCCTCCATCGTTCCTCAAGTCTCCTCAAAGATCACAAAACACACGTAGACTAGAGAGACAAACTCCTACAGCCCAACAGCAATTCCCCAACAGTTAAACTCTGGTACACCATTTCTGGTCCAAAGCCCAGTCTCTATTTGACTTTGAAGAGTCTCGCCTTTCATCTTCTGGCCACTGTTTTCACAGGCAACAGTGACTCTCAAGCACGAAGAAGAAGCATTTAATGCCATGAACATTTACCTATTCAGATGACGGGGCTCTTCACCAGACATTTTCAGTTTAACCTGTTCACTTCCTGCCATTGGATCCATTTCATCTCCATTTATCAATCAACAGCAGTGCACTGCCTTTACTCACACGTTGGGGTACTGCGTGGCCAGAGCTGGGATGGTGATCTTGTAGAGAAATAGCTGCCGCTGGTCGGGACTGATGGCCGAGTGGAGCTGATAGACGGGCTGACCCCAGTTGTTCTTCTGACACAGCTCTTCCAGAACCTGACGGGAGCACAGACGGGTGGAGGTGTTCACCTTGGGAGAAGAACTTCCAAGTTCCACACAGTCATAGCTTTTATTTCACATCGCAGTTTGGAGGATAAGGGGTGCTCTTTTGTGAATGAAGAGCCACAGGTTTTCAGTTGAGGAATCATATAGGCATTAGAAACGTTTCTCTCCGTTCGCATATTCCTGAAAAGTGTCAGGAAAAATTTGGAATATGTCGTTGTGTTTGGGTGTGTCCCGTTACCTGAGTTGGTGGTTTGATGCCGGTGCCCTTCATGCTCATGGCAGCTGGGTTCATCGGTGTCAGCTCCATCCCCGGCAGCAGGTCGTACAGCTTTTCCTGGGCCTGCTTGTCCCCCTTCAGCCCGTAGGAGGCGCTACTTCCACCTCCTCGTCCCATGGCTCCGCCCCCGGCTGCGTAGGCCAAGTAGCCCCGCCCACCCAGCCCTCGTACCCCCGCCGCCCCTACAGGTACAGTCATGTAAATTTCTACAGGAGATCGGAGAGGCAGTAAATCAATCAAATCACTGGAAATCAGCAGGGAAGAACAATCACACAATTAATAAATCACAACGAAGACTGATAACAAAGATAACAGCTAAGTGATTTCTTATTTTTCTGGCGAATTTTTGACCAAACTTCAGCTGATTCAGAGGATCTCACATGATTCCTACCATAAAATATTCTGATTTTCAAACCACGTTCATTGCATTCACATGATTCAGGGAGATCCACCCCTCGGCGTCACACCTGCCACAGGCGCAACTCAAAGCCAATAAAGAGACGTGATTGAAGTCGCTGTTAAATCCAAATAATCTGTAACAGCAGCTGAGTTGCGATCGGACAGTCTGTGTCGAGGGGAGGAGCTTCAGCATCAGATTAAGCAGTTTCTGCTGTCAAATCAAGATCTGATAGCAGATCTGCCTCCATCATGGTCTCCGGTTCATGTGAACAGAGAGAGCGTCCTCACCTCTGACCGACGGCGTCCTGATCAGACCTCTTCCTCCCACGTGCGCTTTGGCTGCTGGGAAACGGAACTGACCCGGAATGGCGGCGTAGGCCTGGGGGGCATAAAACACGGGAGCACCAAGGTACGCCGTAGTGGGGTCGTACACCTGCGAGAAACAGAGGCGGAAGAGGAAGTTTGGCTCTTATGTTAAGATGTTTGTTGTCGGAGCTGACTTGTATTACTTTGGATTTTGTTATACTTGGTTTACTTTATATTTTTAGGTTCTTTGCACCCAGAAACACAATTTATTTTGCTTTTTGTTTGAGTGCTTGTGCTGCCCCTGATAAATCGGCGCCCTCTACTGCTCTGGAAAACTCAGGTAAAAACAAAAGCGTAGCTAAAAATGTTTTCCTGTTCTGAATGTTTTAGTTCCTGGGTTTGGTGCTACCATCACTGGTGCAAACTCTTCTGTCACATTGAGTTAAACTGGCCACTCTATGAAGTTGTTTGACGTCCTATGACCCTTACACTTTATTTGACGGGGTGTGCATAACACTGACTTGACACTGTCATAAACATGACATAACATCTGTCATGAACATGAAGGAGTCTTTATGAATGTCTATGACTGTTGTCATGAAGTGTGATTCGGTAAATAATGACATTTTTATTGGAAAGTTGCCCTAAAAGTTGCTTTAAAAGTCCATTAGAAGTGCTAACTTTGCATTAAAGTGTTATATATAAAATAATGCAAAGTTAGCACTTCTAATGGACTTTTAAAGCAACTTTCCAATAAAAATGTCATTATTTACCGAATCACACTTCATGACAACAGTCATAGACATTCATAAATACTCCTTCATGTTCATGACAGATGTTATGTCATGTTTATGATGGTGTAATGTCAGTCTTACGCACACCCCGCCAAATACAGTGTTACCTTTTTTTCTTTTTTTTTGGTCAATCTTGACAACACAGCGGAACAGTAACACATAGAGTCTCTGGGAACTCAGAGTTCAGCTCATTATCAGCTCCTTATCTCCTGTTTATCTGTGAATCAGGTTCAGGTTCAACTCAGTCTACTTTATGGCTTTCATGTTAATGATGTTCCCACTCGACTCTCTAATGAAGGGATTTTCATAAGCTAGATAATGAACAAAAAAAAAAAACTGCCATATTTAGTAAGATTTTCAACTTTAATTTTCTCTTTTTTAAAACACTGAATTGTTGTGTTATATTTATTTCACTACTTACTGAAAATTTTGTCTGGATAATTTGTGTCTCTAAATGTCTACCTTTTAATATGATTTCTGTATAAGCTTGGATTTATCCCATGATGCATTAACCGTCCTGACCGAGATTTTCGATAACAGTGTCATGTAGATGCATTAAAATCTGATAAAGATAACGACAATGGAAAGCATCACAGTGCACTGCGCTAAAGTTTGACAAATGTTAGCAGTTATGTGCTGCAAGGTAAATTCCTGTTGTAATTTGGGATATTGACGCTCACACTCCAAGTTATTACTCATTTCGTCATCAGTATATTTTACTATAGATTCAGTTCAAGGCCCCTCTATGCTCAAATTCCTTCCTGAATATGCCTAATTTATAAGAATGTCTGTTTGGATATTACAAATCCTTTTTAGTATTCAGGTAAGAGCTCAGAGTCCCACCTGTCCCAGAGTGTAGGCCGTGTAGTCGGCCTGCAGAACCGAGCCTCCTCTTCCTCCGGTTCCTCTGGTGTACCGGACGTAGCTGTCCTTATCCACCGGCTTGGCCAGAGTCACCTCGATAGGAGAGCCGTCCACCACCTGCAGGCGGAGAGAGGAGAGAGGAGTTTACCTCTCAATGATCATTCTGCATGCATCGCCTAAAAACAAAATCAATCTCGGTTGTATTTTTTTTTGGAATGCTGTACTTTTGCGGTTATTGCTAGGGAAATTATTTTCCCGCATCAGCTCATTGCCATCAAGATTCCCAGAGTTTTATGCAGCTGTTTTGATGGTAGCTATGGAAACGGCCTGCTGCGTGCCCAGTGAGGCAACAGTTGTGTGCTTGTTTCTTTTCTTTTACCAAACGGTGAGAAATTTGTCCGCCACCAAAAGAAATTTTAAAACAAAAAATGTGTTTAGATTTAATAGTTTGAATTTTTAACCATTTCTTCTTCTTCTTCTATTTTTTTCTTGTGTACTCTCTGTGGGGTTTTGTGTGTTCGCTGCCTAGTATTTATTTTGCAGAACATGTTCCTTTTCCCTTAGAGGTTTTGGAGTATACATATAAGGACCTTGGTCTCCAACCTTCAGCTCGCTTCTGCTGACATGTGCTCCAATCATGCGCTGCTTTTTTTGTCTAAAATTAAACCTGATGGGTTTTTTTCTGATTTCAAACAGCAGAAAAATGAGGGCAGAGCTGACCTTCCCATTGAGCGCGTTCATGGCGTTGATGGCGTCCTCTCGCTGACTAAAATGCACGAAGGCGTAGTCTCTGATCTTCTTCACTCGCTCCACTGCACCTGCAGCGCAACAATATCATTATTGGCTTCTCATTGTAACACTTTTCACTTTTGTGGAGCTCCACCCATTCGACATACAGTATTTATAATGCAAAGAAACCCACATATCACAAAACACAAAAAAGAAATATCTTCAATAATCATATGAGTTTATGGTAATAATGACTAATAACCTTAATTAATTGCTTATTTTCTAAATACAAAACATGTTAATGCTTTTATAAAGTTTTAAGGTTTTGGTTTGAAATTTTAAATATATTTTTTGGCTGATCTTTACGCCTTTTTAGACTTTGAAAGTTTATTTTCACTCTCTTCTACTAAAACTATTAGTCCTGAATGAGCCAATCAAATTTGAATATATTTTGTTACCAGGCTTTTGTTTTGTTTGGAGTTTTCCAGCTTTTTGTCAGCTTTTGGATTGAATAAAAAAAAAAAAATGCTTTCACCAATTTTATTTGCCAGAAAAGTTTTGCAGACTAACCTGACTGTGTGTTAGAAGCTTTAAACAAACAGATGAGGCTTTAAGAGGATCTTGTCAGCAGCATTTAAGGACAATCTGAAAGCAGAGAGGCCGGTCGTACCTGGTTTCAGGCTGTTAAACTCCCTCTCGATGGTTTCTTCAGTGGTCTGCAACATCAGGTTCCTCACATACAGAATCTTTACGTTTGCCATGGTATCCTCATCAACCTCCACCTCAGGTTCCGCCCAGTCCACCGCGATGGGATGACCCCACAACTGGATCCGACCTGAATGTTTGATAACGGATGTAGTTCAGATTAAGTTTAGAGCTGGATGTGGACCACGATCGTCAAAATAGATGTCTTTGTGATTTTACAGAAAAACACTGGAAACGGTGATGGTTCTGCTGGTAAAACCCCATCTTCAATATCTGCTCTCTTATCATGAAAATCCATCAGCAGTAAAATTGGCTTTGACTGGCTGACACTTGGACAGCTGAAGACTTTGACTGTTTTTATGATGTTCTCTTGATGATATTAAGGTTTGTTATCAGCTTTGCAAGGTGCATGTGTTCACTTCCCCAGTGTGAGATCAACCTGCATATTTTCAGCATCTTGAAACAGAACACGCGCCAATCGATTTGAAACACCTCTAGTAATTTTGAGACAAAACTGGCCCAAGAAATCGTGTGGATCTCCAGAGTTTTTGGTCTCTACCTGGCAGGAGTTTGCGTCTGGCCATGGCAGCTGCCCGGTGGCTCTCGTATTCGACGAAGGCGAAGCCTCTGTTCTTGGATTTGTCTGCAGCACTGGGGTACACGATGACGTCCACAACGCCGTCTGTGACCTTTCGCATCTCCGCTAGGATCTCGTCGTGCTTCTTGGTTTTAGGAATGCCCCCGACAAACAGACGGCAGTTGTCCACGCTGGCACAGACACCGAGGAGGCGACCGTTCCTGGGAGATGGAGAGAAGAACATCGTAGGAAGGTCAGTTTAAACCAGTATTCTGATCTACGCAGATGACACCACTCTGTACTTGAGAAACAAAGCAGCAGTCTATAGAAGAAGGTGATTAAGGTCTTGGACTTTTCATGAAACAGATTTTTTTTTTTCCCAGGGTTGGGGAAACTGTTTTATGATCAACTGAGGAACTAACGGTGATGTGAATTGGTCCGGTCACATAAAATGTGAAGTGTTTGTTCAATTGATAGTATAGTTACTCTGGTTGGTGACATGTAAATTGATAATAGTCAGGTTTAGATGGATGGTTGGCTCAGATTTATTAGGGCTAGGGTTATGTGCTTGCAATAAGGTAGTTTTAAATGAAGATGGGTGTTTAAAACAGATAATTGCAAAAGCTGTCGTTGCAGGTGAAGAACCGCTCTGACCTGATCTCGTAGTTGTTAAGCTGCTTCATGGCTGTTCTGGCTTCCTGTTTGTTGGTGAAGGTGACAAAGGCGTAACCTCTGTTGTTCCCATTGAAGTCCATCATCATCCTCACCTCATAGATCTTACCAAACTGATGACAGGGGCAGAGAATGCCAGGACATTTAAAAAAGAAGTGATATCAAGGGACATTTTCCTCAAATTATTCCACAATGACTCACCTTCTCACACAACGGAACCAGTTCATCCTCAAACAGATCTCTCGGGAGTTTCCCCACAAAGATCTCACTACCTCTCTCAGGCGGTGGTCCGTCCCAGTCAGGCGGTGGGCCACCATACCGCCGCTGACCATTCTCCTGAAGAACAGAACCCCAAAATGAGGAGCGGCAGCCTGGGGAGAACTCCCCTCGGCACTCTGGTTCCTAAAAATATTCCTTACCTGTCTCAGCTGGTATCCGGTCCGTTGGGTGAGCGCCCGAAGTGCGGCCTCTTTCTGCGTCCCCGCCAGCCCGTCTCCACTTCCCTTCTGATTGGATTCCATTGGGTGTGATTAACAGCAGGTTGTGAATCAGGGAAATTAGGGGTGCTCACTGCAGAAACAGACATAAAGCAGGTTTCAGTTCTGATGTTCTGGTTGTCAGAGAGAGTTTGGGTGGGCTTTTGTAAGTCACAGAACCACATTCAGGCTGTCTATGATGATGGTTGTGAAGGGTAATCTTTATCAGTTTCATTAAAACTCTTTAAACCACATTAAAAGCTTTTCTTACGTTTATTTGCTGTATCCTGTCTTACCCTCACAAACTATTGAATGACTTACATATTTTCTTTGTACCGATGTGTTCAGATTTGAGAAATCTAACTTTTATAAACCCATTTAGATTCAAGACATTAAAGCTTTATTTTCTTCTCCAGACAGTCTGTTCCCCATAAAGGTGAACTGAACAGAAACATCTTTCCAAACATCCTAATTGCTCTAGAGCCTGCAGATTTCTGCAACTTTAGAAGGAATGTATTCCTGACCAAAAAAAGTAGCATTTGCAGCCACAGTTAAATGAGTTCATACAGAAACGCTTTCTGTGGACTCTGAAACACTTTGTCACCAAATAGTTTGTGTCATATAAAAACATAAAACTAATTAATCTACAGAGTTTTCCCAGATTCAATGGGAAATAAATACAGAGATATTAAACAGAAAGTAAACCGTTCTAATTGTAGAAAAATATATATATTTCAAAAGCCGCACTAAACCAAACAACCATGGCTTTATTAAAAGTGGACATTTATGTGAAACTAATGAATAGAGGATTCTGGAGCTGGTCAAGGACAGCAGCTTTGGAGGAGACTAGATACTTCACAGGAACACAATGGCCGCTGTAAGAAACGGTGGTGGCAGCATTATGCTGTGGGATGAGTTTTTGTCCAGTGGACATGAGGTTGTTGTCAAGTCGAATCAGTTCCAAAACCAAGGAAAGTTTTGACAAGACTTCAAGATATCTGCTAGAAAGCTGAAAGCTTAATTATTTAGTCCCATTGTTAGTCCCAGAATATATTCAAATTAGGAACAGAACGACTTGACATGAGGGAAAAATGTATGTTTTGAAATGACTGAGCCAAAGTCCAGTCCTAAATGTGACTTTAATAAAAAAAATAGAGAGCAATTTGTCCCCACAATGTGACATATTGATTCCTATCAAAGACCGCTGAACGCTGAAATTTAATAAATCATTATATCCACTGTTTGCCCTCTCTCTTCTTTTCCCTGTCCCAGTCATATTTGGTGTAACCGCCTGCCAGCCCTCTGTTGAATCAACTCGTGTCCCTGCTGAGACATCATGTACTCACAGATCTGCACCTCCTCGCCTTGTTTTTCCCAATCTGAGCGGCAGATATGAGCGGCGGGGAGGTCAAGGTCTGCTGGCTGATCATTAACAGAGACCGCGGACAGCCTGACAGTCCGTCTCACCGTCCCACAGGGTGGAAGCCTGCTGCGGCCAAAATCAGGTCGAGCTTTCGCTGAATTTATTCAGCAAATAGCATCTCAAACAAGTCGTAATGCCTCCCATCCCCCTGCCATAAAAACCCTCGACTCGTATAACCAGAACCGAAACACTCCAGGTCACATTATGCAGACCTGGGATGCTGTGATGCTTTTATTACGCTTGTGTAATAAAAGCATCATGTTTGTTTGAGTTTTT